TGAAACAAGATTCTGTGCCACCAGCATTAACGCCTAGTTAAAAAGTCTCGAAAGAGTGTGGATAAGCGGGGAGCAAGTGTGGTAAATTATCCGTAAAAGCAACATAGCCTGGCTAGTAAGTCTGCAGAAATAAGTTAAGCTTACTGACCTCCATCCTCTCCTGTAATACTTGGCCGCACACAGACCACTGATACACGGCCTACCACCTGCCGTCTCGTAAACCTAGTTACGGAGGAGCATGTAATTTAAAAGCTCAAGTACTGATTCCCTTCGCTGGAACTATGTAGAACTCTTCAACCGAATCGATGCGCTGGAAACGCTGTGCTGATTGACGAAGCACCCGAACGTTTGCGGTGTTTCTAATTCGCTTTTGTTCGCCGTTGATCGACCTGTATTACTGATACTATTGCCATAGGTAAAAGTACTTCGCAGATGCCGCGTCGTTCGACGAGAATGAAAAAAGGACAGCAGATTGAGCCTCCCAAGTCAGTTGCATAGAAAAGTAGAAAGACCGCTGGGTCTACCATCGCCTAACGGAGAAAAACCCAAACCCAAGGATGATTTCTGGAACAGTTTAAGCCGGGATACTTGTTATCTGGCGCGTGTTGTTCGAGTGGTGACCAGGTGGAGCAGGCTGAAGTGTGTCAAAGATGGATTAAGGTCATAAAACTGAGCCTTCCTCCTTCTCCATGGACTACTGACAGAGCTGCAGGCATCCTTCCATCAAGTTGACAGTTACAAGAACTTGACGATTCTGTGGTTGACAACTAGCACGTGAACCTGTCAGCCAAACAGAAGGGGTAAAAGGACAACTTACATTTCAACCACTGATGTCAAATATACGGATGCATACACCAAAAAGCTTACGGAGTAAAATGGGTTTAAGCAGGTCAAATAAAACACTAAACAGCTCCGTCACCATTATCAGCTGTAAAAACCTCGCACTTGTAGTACAGTGGTTGTAGCTGCCAGAGTGCAACAGGTGACACGTTCGAAAACGCTGCTCTGGTCTTCCCAATCCGGATGGGAATACCATCTTTCGCGAGACCACCGGGACTGATACAGCTGCCCAGGCAGACAAACCTATCTACTACCTCAAGCGGCTCATCCACAAGCAGGAGGTTAGGGTTCGGTCCTACCCAGTGGCACTTTGCACTGTGCATGCGTGAAACGCATGCCAAACCATGAGTAGGATAATATAGATTATTTAATATTGCTTGTATTACCACGGCATCAGATCCAGGAAAATATATCGTCTGCGTACTGGATATCTGTGAGCGGACACAGTGGGGGCTGAAACTGAGTTTTATATAACTGTATCAATAACGAATTTGAAGAGGAATGGTGAAACAGGATAGCCTTAGCTGATACCACTTGATTTGGTGAACTGTGGTGAGAGCTTCCCGTAGACCTTCACACGCCCACGGAAATTGGCGTACACTGCCTAAAGGAGGGTCAACAATTTATAAGGGACACCTTTGCTCCATAGACACTGTCATAGTGCCTGACGTTCCACAGGGTCAAAGGTAGTTTTCAAATCGAGGAACACAACCATTGTTGGTTGCTGGAAGCAGTGTCGCTGTTCTAGAATCTATCGGAGGGCGAAGATTTGATCGATGCATCCTTTTGCAGGATGAAATCCAGCTTGGTTTTTGCGGATGTCTCTCCGAAGCAATTGGAAATACATGGGAACCGGAAATTTTAAACTTAGCGTTATCTCACGCTATGGTTAAAGGGGCCTGATCTATGTTTCTCGACAAACTTTTCTCGTTCCCTTGTTCCATCAACTACGAACTTCAATAGTGACTTATGACGCATATCTAAATGATTGCTTCCGTCTCAACTCCCCCCTACATACCTGCTAATCACCCAATGTCCATAAGCTATCCTGCTCATCCGGTACGTTTACGCTCACTTGCGAATATTCCTTCCGGATAATCTGACAGCCCCCATGGATTTTTCCTGCTCTTTGCTTCTTTATAGGTTTTGTTTGTCACGCAAGTTCACTTAAACGTATTGATCTTTCACCTAGATCCCCACAAAGACCCCCAAAGTGGCAGCTATAACTGTCCTATACAATCCCCCTAACTGCTATAGTTCGTATGTTGTTTATGTTGTACCCGGACTGACATACTCTGCAACCAAATCCATGGTTCCCACCTCCCCATCTGTTGTTTTCCATGATCCTGTTACCTGCTTCAAGACTGGTGTGTCCGCTATCCAATGTCCCAAGTATTAATGCCCCTACCGAGCTTCCTTCTGACTTCTGGTCTGCGCGAGGTCGAAAACAGCAAAATCCAGCACTGTGAAACTTGTCAAACCACCCCGGATCCTACAGTGTGTTTCAATTCTGGAATTCGCAAATGAAAAACTAAGTTTCGCGGTCAAACAAAACTAACACGTACGGAATGAGAGCGGCAGTCTTAGTCACCAATACGTGCGCAACCTAAATGAAACCGGCTGTGTGAAATCAACCGAAATGTAAGGAGACTGAAAAGCACTGCACGTGTTTCATTCTTCCCGAAAATCTCCTACTGTGTGCGTAACGTGGGCCACGAATAGGCTACAAACTTGTAAACCTGAAAAATGTAACCATGAGATGCGATTGCGTCATCAGAGTTAGCCAAACCCCACCTCCACCCGCCTATATAATACAGTGCCGCTGATCGCTAGCGGCTCAGACATCCCATGTAAGCTGACCGTTATCCTGAGCGATTACTTATCCTTTTTAAGTAGCAAGAAAAATCGAGAACTTCATCGATGACGTTGGGTAACAGGGCTCACAAGGAACCTGCGTGTTGACGACCGATTGTCGCAGTAAAAGTGTGTAGCTAAGACAATACGATTCCTGAACATATATGATAGCGGGCGAATAAACCGGACGTTTGACAACATCAACGAAAACTATGAAAACAAAATACCTGTGCGATGCTTCGTCTAGAAAATCAGGAGACCTCACAGACAACGTTTAAACACCGTGTATTTGCCTCGGAGTGAGCAGTACCTTGATGGAGAGGGGAAAGTATGTCATATTTCTCGTTTATAAAGAAGAGTCAAGATGTGAAAGGATGATAAAGGGAAGAATATAAACCAAGACGGGGAAGATAGTCAAATGATGGTATCTGCCAGGGAAGACCAACCTATCACAATTAAAATCCGCGTGAGTTCTGGCGCCGGTTTTCAACTGCTCGCGGAGACGTAGACTGGAACACAGAAGAGTTTGCCATCATCGTCTCAATGTATTGTCCCAAAATCTGGTTCTCAGATCGCATTTTCATGTTTTCTTCTTTGACCACATCAACCCGAGCAGAAAGATCTTCCAGAGTACGCTGCAACTCGATTATCTGTGGGGGGATGGAAATCAGTAGAAATGTGGGGAGAGAAAGGAACTGTCTTTTGGGGCCCTGTCGAAACAACGGTATTCAGCTGCATTTTGAATCTGCTTGTTTACAAAGGCGTGACCAAAAGTCAAGCCTAGGATGCATTGCGGTTTTCGTTCATTGATTGAGGAATGTGAGTTATTTTCAGAACATACCATCATCACGTGACCGACTGGCTTTTGTGAAAAAGGGAAAAGCTTTNCGCCACTAAAGGTCACACGGTCTGGTCTTCAACTGCTAGCCAAGGTCACAGATTCGAGTCTCCCTGGAGATTAGTGAGATGTGCACTACTGATGATTTCTCATAAGAATAAAACAGCCGCACAGTGCTCCTCCGTTTTTCGACATAGACTAACTTCACTTGAAGGATGAAACCTCGATCGACGAACAGTCAACAATCTCGAAACCAGGGGATAGAGGCATGAAAGAATAGGAGTGACTCTGAGATCGGGTGGGCACAACGGTCGCAGGTGACCGACAGAGTATCTGCTCATGGTCACAAAACATTTTGATGAGTCTGAGCAAGATCCAGGCAGTCCAGGAAAAGTGGATTTCCGGCTCCGCTGGTGGACCTCGGGTTCCCTTTAGAACAGATCGATGATTGGGGCTTCCACACAGATAATGCAGAATTGCCCTTAAACTTGAACCCAAAAGCACAAAAAGAAACAGAGTGCCGACGACGGAGGCGATCGTATACGCGGTATGACTCTGCCGCCCCTGCAACCCATGGCCACATAATGTATTCGTAACGATTCCTACTCTGCCAAGTAACATATGATCGACACTGACCACCACCTCATTCAAACCATTGAATGAGTGCTCAATAAGCCAAGGTGTGGTTCGTCGAAGATAGAACTGGAAATGACATGACAATGGTTATGAAAAGATGTCGTTGGGTAGTGTCCTAACAGCATGGGTGAGGATATTTCCCTTTCGAGGTCACTAATGGGATTTCCAACTGCAAAACACTAGCCATTGTTGTCACTGTCCAACTGTTTGGAGAGCTCAAGCGGACTAGTAAGTGAACCCTAGTCAGCTGTGACACCCTTTCGGTGTCTAGTTGCAATGCCACATGAAGGGAGCATGAGGGCTGAGAAGTTGAGGCTGCCAATTTGCCCAAGCCTAGACAGATGTCGAGATGCGGAGGCTGGGTTCAAACAACGGACCTTCCGGTCAGCCAATCCGCGCTCTAACCACTGAGTTATCTCACCCCACGTGCATAACCTTCGGTTCAAGAACTAGTCTAGGCTTTATCCCCAGCGATGAGCATAATGTGTACTATTACATTAAAAACCCGAAATTTGGAGAATCCAAAGCTATTCCAAAAAAATCGTTCAGCTGTAGCACTTTTTCGGTGCCTAACTGCCATGCCACCCGAAGGTTGCACGAGAGCTGGGATACTGCCAGGTTGCCCAAGCCTAGACAGGGGAGTCGAGAGACGGAAGTCGGGTCCGAACCACGGATCTTCCGGTCAGTAAATTTGCGCTCTAACCACTTGGACTATCTCGCTATTCCAGCCTAAACAAAACTGGTTTGCGCGGTTAACCGTGATCCATATCGTATTTAGTCACAAAAACTATATACATCATTAAGATATGTCATTCAATTAATGAAAAATCAAGGAACGTAATTGTACCTGCTTTATCAGACGCTGCTTTTCTTCGTAGTCTGCCTCAGATGTACAGTCTTCCACCTCGTTAGACAGCAACACATTAGCATCAATGTCGGTGTTCCCGTTCATCACTTTAGTATCCAACTGTATTGCCTTGGGTTAATAACCCTAAAATAGGTCGAAAAATAGTGAGTCAATCAGGGAATTGAATGTTCTTGGTCTCTTTTTGGAACATGATGAACATAAAGTGCCGTAAGCAGATGTCTTTCACCCACTAACATCTTCATACGCAACAATCTTCAGCCATTTTGTGGTGACATATTCTATGATCATGAAAGGACTAGACCATAAATCCATTTTACGAGGTGTTGAGCATCATCTGGGTACTTATCGGTCTGTGAATCTCTCATTAGCGTTAGGAAAGGTTACAGGGCGGTAGTCAAAATTCTGATTCAAAGGCGCATTCACGGAGCGCCAAGAGTATGATTTTCTAGCATACCGAAAAGATTCAACATACATCATTCTTGTGTGGGAGCCGGATCGGGTTCATGGTCCGAGGAGTCTATGTAGGCGCTTTGTTTATGTAATTCAGCACAGTACTTGACTGAATACGACAGAAGGCCTCTCAGGTTTGTGCTCACTCAGTCATGTATGGAGCGACGACCCTGGAGACGACCATGTGGTGATTAGCCCATATCTTGGCGAAGAAGCATGAAAATCCCAACTCGGTTGCGTTATGCCGCTTACTCGGAGGGGACCCCGGGACGAAGCCAGCCTGTCAGCTATGTAACGCAACCAACGGTAATCCCACACCAAAGCTACCTTCTTCAGTAGGTAGCTTCATGTCTCTAATATACTGGACAAACAGAACAAATGAACTTCAATGAACGGATTGAGCCATCATTTCCACTTCTACTTCCTTACTCCCCTTATTCGCGGTGAACAGAAGTGTACCGACTGGAAATACCGAGCTTTGACACGGTTTACAGGGGGGGAGGGCATATGAAAAATCGAGGTCCAGTGAAGGGTATTCGCCTCTTCCTACTGCTTCAAAATCAAATGTGAACTCAAACTGGAACAGGACCTTTGCACAGTGCTGGGAATTTCGCCTGTCGCATGAAGCCCCTCAGGCCCGCTAGAGCACTGGATGCCAAGCAGAACAGTGGCAATGCTTGAATCTCGGATAAATGCCCTCGCCGATTCCGAATATAATTCGGCCAGATGAATTATCGGACGTTAAATGTTGGCTACCACCCTGCTTGCATCACTCTGAATTTGGCACGAAAACAGCACTCACATTGGCGAACAATGGTTCAGCATGTGTAATACGTGGTTTGACCAACGCAGCTTCTGATGCTGGGCACATTCTCCAATGGAAGTCTCTGCTATACAACTGAAAACTTGCTTACGTTGCTACGAATTCACCAACACCAACCCACACGAGCTATGGTCTTGAAACAATGATTGTTAAAGACCCGAAGAACTCTCACTTCTGCTGCTCGAACAGGCTGTCTCACATCCATAGGAAACAGTCCGTAATTCGCCTGACATACACGTCCCTTGAGATTCAGGGATAGCAAGAGCAACCTAGGCCTTACACATATTCGTGCATTGATGTCATCCGTCATACCACAATCAGAAATAATACAACTTTCAAGATACACACAACGTTCCACAACCTCGGCTTCCCCTCTCCATTAATTGTGAATGACGTGTTCAGTGGCTGCATGTTCAGGAGCATGACCTTACATTTCGTGGGTGCAAAGCGCACACCAATGAAAGGGATAAATTTGGTCAATTCATTGAAAAACATCTGAGCCTTCTACTCTTCGAAGACAAGAATGATTATCGTCCGCATATTCCAGCTCAACAGGGTTTTCATCAGCAGTCACTTGAACATCAGGATTTTGAGAGCTTCCATCGTTCGTCTCACAAAATTAAATAAGAATGGAGAGAGTACGTATCCCTGATGGACAACAATTTGTGTTTAGAAGTTTCTGGAGAGCTTCCCGTGTACTCTCACACGCCCAAAACCCGATACTGCAAAGAACTTACAAACTTCGCAAACTTCCGGAGCATTCCTTGACGTTCAAGCGTGTTAAGGGGAACAGAGCGGTCAACCGAGTCGAATGTATCTTGGAAATCCATGGATATTAAAATTGTGTTGTTTGTATGTTCGTATGACGTCGTTCTAACACGTGACAGTGTGAAGATTTGGTCAACACAACCCGTATCAGGGCAGAATCTTGCTTGCTACTCTTGAGTCAGTATTTCACGACCCGCCGCAAAACGACGAAGTGACGCCAAGAGTCTCGTTACAACTGGGGTCAAGGTGATCCCACTGTGGTTGCCACACTCAATACGAGCCTCCTTTCTTGAAAATGAGCACTGTCACCAATTCTCGCCAGTTGTCTGGGACGGTCCTCTATTCCCAAATGCAGGCAAACAAATCAAACAAGAGCTGACTGAGGACTTCACGCCATCTTGGAACAATGTGGATGGTAGGTCACTTTACTTCACAAATTCTCGAAGAGAACTACACATGTAGAAATTAAACCACTGCCGCCTTCTTAAGTCTAAAAGCAATGTTTGACTGAGTCAACCTCATCGCGTTGTGACGATGTGTGCAGAACATATTCATTGCACTCAGACACAATTAACGATTCTTATACGCCAACATCCGTAGGTGCAAGGAAGTCTACGGATATTGTCCTAAGTTCATCGACAATTGTAGTGTTCCTCAGGGCTTCCCAAGTCCCCTTGTCTTTTCAAACTCTTAATCGAATCAATTATCGAAGGCATGTCTTTTATTTCTTCTGTCTATAGTGTGGGAGCTCTTCTCGGAGAACACATCAAAGGTCTGAAGTATGTAGACAACATATTGCTACCTGCTCAACATTCCATCCAAATACAAAACACTATATAATCTAAGTGTTGTCTACTCTAATCTAATCTAAATCTAAAAATTACGCTTTCTACACCTTTAAAATGCAAAGGCCTGATGCATGACCACCCAAGTGCACTAAGAGTTGGGTATGGCGTCAAAACCACCACAGAAGGTGGACAGGTTTATTTATCTGAGCAGCTGTATCACGTGGGACGGCTGCGTTGCTTGAGAAGGGAAAGCTAAGGTCCGCCAAAGACGTTTCACTTTCCCTTAATCTCGAACCCCTGAAGTCGAAGCGACATTAGCCTCTCTGTGAAAGGGGATGTACGACGCGGTGGTGTGTTTATCGTTTCCATGCACTTGCGAAGCCTGGTCACTGTGCGCTGAAAACAAGAGAGGACTATGTACCCCTGAACGCCAGTTCCTCCGAGACATTGCCTGTGCATCATGAAAACGTTGGGTTAGCAATGCTGGAGTGCGACAAATGATTTGTGACAGAAAATAAGCTACTCATTCCATCGGCCCCTCGTCCATGTGCTCTGTATGCAAAGTGATAGACTGCCACACCGTGGTCTTCTTTCTAAACAAGTTCCGATCAGAAAATACAAATGAACTGGCAACGAAGAACCCGAAGGAGGATAAAAGACAACTAGGGACCCCCATCTGCACAAGTTCGCGTCGTCTGGAAGCTTCGAGTATCAGAGAGCCACCATTAATTTTTGCATGCATAAAAAAGATAGCATGCTGAACTAGCCCAACTGAACAGATTTAGATGACGAGAACGTGAGACTCGGAGGCCTAAATCAGTCCTATTATGCTTTAACACCGGACCAGATAGAACTGTTCATCAACATCGACAGCATGACATAAGTGTTCAACACCGATACTCCACTGCCGTAGATAGAACCGTTAAGGTGTCTAAGGCAGACACCCCCTCAAGGCTCACAATTCAAACTAACATCGGACTAACATCGCAAACAGCCTCTACAAAAGGTTCCTTATTGTTCAGTTCGGTTAAGCCCTTCAGACAAACTGTGCATCCAAGTGCAATGGTTCCAACTGTTGCAGCTTTGTTCACCCAGGGAGAATATGGGATTGAGAGGCATTCGTCGTAGACGATGGCCCAGTATATGTACTGATGGTAAATGAATTCAAATCAACTTGCAGCAAGATAACTTGCTGGCTCAGTATGGGAGGTGAGAGCTACGCAGTGAAGGCGGTGGTTTTAATTCAACATCGCTATTGACTGCATGATCCAGTCACATCTGCCAAGGCCCCACGATCCACATCCGGGAGGGAGTAGTCACCAACTGTTGGGCGGAACTCCACACCGATACCGTTTTACCGCTCGCAGTTAGGCGCTGCTACGCCCGAGAGCCTATCCCGCACACCATTGGCTAAAGTTTCGAGCCACTTGCAGAACTGGCATCACGGATTCACGGATTGATACACAGGATCGAGTCTATTGCCCAAGATTCCCGGGTCGGTTTTGTTCTTGTCGGTCAGTGGCTATCGTTCACCTGAAAGGCACAAGTGAAAAAAGGGTGTAGCACTGCTCTTTATGTTCTCAGCGCGGGGCAGTATGCTTGCCAGAGCGAGGATTCACATAAATAAATGTCTAATAGTGCTTTAAATTGGGTTCGAGAAGGAGCGTGTACAACCGTCGGAAGAAGGTCATTCCACGCAGCTACTACCCGAAATGAAAAGCATTTCTGTCTAATGAATGTGTGTGCCATGAGCTTGAAAATTTTCTTACTATGTCCTCGCCGGGTGTTTGCTGGGTCAACGGTGAAAAACCTGTTTGCCAAGCTTTGTTCAAACAGGGCGTAAGTAAGAATTAGGTCCCCTCGGAGGCGACGGTACTCCAGGGGAAAGAGATCAAGCATCGCGAGACGCGTTTCGTAGTCCACGGATTTGAAGCCGGCAACCATTCTAGTGGCGGCCCGCTGGACCCGTTCAATGAGGGTGACGTCTTTTGTACGTCCTGAGTAGACAACTTGGTTGGCGTATTCCAGGAGCGGTCTGACGTAGGCCCCATAGGGTATTTGGAAGTCCATGCGAGTAATACGGGAGAAGGTGCGTCGGATCATCCGTAAAATGGCGAATGCCTTTTGGGCCGATTTCTCATGGTGTAGTGAGAAGGACAAGTTTGAGGAGACCCAGATGCCCAAATCTTTTTTGGCATCTATCCTCATGATGTTTTCTGGTCCCTTTTCACCATGCATAACAAAGACATTCGCTGAATCCCCTCCAAACGACACATGGACGCACTTTTCATCATTCAGAGGAAGGTGCCAGTCCAGGTGAGATCTGATTGCTCAGAAGTCTGGGCGCAACAGCCAATGACGACACAGTATTTGCCGAATGCAGGTTATCGATGGTGCATCAAGAAGGCAACTGAATTTCTTGAATGCTGTCGTGTCATATACGATGCGCTGCACAAGTATCGTTTACTTGGTTTTTGGCGATAACATACGTTGTGCACCTTTGGTAGTTGATTTTGACGGGTACACTAGCTTGAGAGGTTCAGACCAAGACCTATGCTGAGGAAAATACCGTTATGAAAACAACCCGTTTGAGTTGACTGGTATGGAATTTGATCTTTCTTTTCCAGTTGATGGACCTATTGAATCTCGGTCGTCTCCATCCGATACAAGGCTTGGCGAAGGGAAATCTGCAGGGCAAACAGTACACTTGCACTTGAAGTAAATGGCCCAAACTTTCATCACCAGATATTATCACAGTTTCCAACGATCAACGGGATTGATGGTAGATATGAGATTGTGAAAGACTATCATTTTTGATCGTCGGGAAGTATGGTGAGTTCCAGCACTTGTCGCGAAGTGAAGGTATTATCAATGCATTCCTGGCCAGGAAGAAACCCAGCTTGATTCTCGTGAAGGTGACTCTTGCGATGGTGGGGAAATCTTCGTGAGGTAATTTCAGGTAATTTCTTCGACGCCTTGGCCACTGGATTGAAACTCCGTTGTTTTTTGCATGACGTTCATCCACCCTTTTTGAGGGCAGAAATCACCATCCAGTGGCCCCATTCTGTCAGTTTTTTCTCTCCAATCCAGATACTTTAGAGTAAAGCCATCAGGACAGCCACGAGGGTCTTGTCGCTCTCTTAGAAGAGCGCATGACACAAATAGTGAAGAGCAGCTGTTTTGTTGAACTGTTGTTTATGTGAACTGGTTGAGGTTACTTCTTGTTCAGAAACCGTCTTATAAACACTCACCCTCCTTGGTTCATGTGACTGGATTTGCTGAAGGAGGATGTGATGACTCCTCATCACAAAAGATTTTTCCATTTCTAAAGCTTTTGAGATCCACCAATGCTCTCTGCTAAACATTAGTCTTTTTAATAGCCGCTGTTTTGAGGATCTGTGTGCGTTATCAATGTCACGTGATGGCCGCAACCAGAGCTGTTGACCTTGAGGAGATCTGGTGGTTATTGGGGTGTGCAAGCAACCTTGGTCACATGGTATTAGGGGCTGTGAGCTTGGCTCCTTGCACTTTTCTCTAAACGTCATCCAAATCACCGCTGTGCCTGTTGATTCCTGAGAGCTACTGAGGCAATCAGGCGATGTTTCTAGGATAAGGAGACACTTCGCGTGTGGTGAACTGAAAGGCGTCATCTGACACATTTAAGATGGTAGGCGAAAAGATACGCATGCCTTCACAATTCCGCGATAGGAGAAAACTGGTGTACTTCAAAATGAACGGCAAGCTTGTGACACCACCAGTTGCTGTTTGCCACACATCCACACTAAGTTGACATCAGCTTTCTAGCCGGCAGCGTCCAAGTCGAGTGGTGTAAGCGTGAGTGTTGTAGGTTTGCGCTAGCCAAAAACAAATAGCGTTTAGCACATAACGCAAGAAATCACTCCCAAATATCTGTGAGATGAGGCCAGCCCCGAACAAACCTTTGAGATGGCGTGTATATCACTTGCGAGAATCGCACTACTTTACCGCTTGCTAAAGAGGCCATCCCTCCAAACCGTCGGTCGGAACGTGTACGTATCAAACACCGTTCGCCACATCGGCTCATTGGTTTTGGTTGAGCCAGTGAACCTAAAATGCAAAAAAGACGACCGCTAGCTGGGACCCAATTCAGTAAGACAAATTCAGTGATGGGGCTGAGATCAACTTTAAGCCGTAGGTACCATTATGTTTACCAAACATCCGAAGAGTAAAATGCGGGAAACCGGGCTCGTCCCGGACAGTTTGCAGTGTATCAGTTGGGGTAGAGCTGGGGTTTATGGGCACGTTCTGGAGACAACACAAATCCATCGAAAATGAGAACACGGTCTCATTTTTGACGCGAAGGATGAACCGTTGAGAGCCGAAAGGTGAAACAGACCGCTTGAGATGATAAAGGGTCATTTTCACCTTACTGGTAATAGGCCTAGACACAAGCACCAGTCATGTAATTGTCAGTTCGGTGAATCGGAAGAAATTGGGTTACATGTGCGTGCGGAGCGGTCAACGGGCAGGGAGCTACAAGGGAGGATGATGACTTTTTACTGCCCGGGCCAAAAGTTTTGTTGAGATAAGAAATTTAACTCAAAAGTCTGACCAGCAGGGCCATGGAAGAACGTCTGATATTGGTTCATGAGCCCTCGCATTTGTTTACCATGGAAATATACGGTGCACGGCTGCCACTTTCGTGTCCTGGCTACTCATGAGTAACATGATTTGTGGCCATTTATTGCATCACTGTTTTGTTTCCCTGCTGCTCGTTTCCCCAGTCTCCTTCTTCCCTAAGTTCCTCCCAATCTTCAGTAACTGTTGTCGATATTTTGTTAACAGTTCGTCAGCATTCACGAGTTCGTTTCAGTTCTACCTATTTTCGAGCTTCCTCTCGGACTGATTGGGGTCAAACACGGAGCACTTCAAATGGCAGGCGAACACACTGTGCACTGCACCAACCTGACACCCAGAAGGGTCTATGTTTTACTACCTATATACCGCCCCTGCCAGATAGTTTTTGGTGAGATTTGTTTTAGATGGACCTAACCACGCAATCTGATTTGTTAGGTGACACGAGCCGCAGCATCACGCCGTCAACCTAAGACAGTCCTTTACCTCCTGAACATACTGATTGTTTTCTGTGCCGTTATCTCTATACGGACAACACTCACTGCCCTTACCCGTACATTTGCACGTCGTTTGGTGCTTGCCTGCCGTTGCTTCAGGGGCGAGCCCGTAAATCTCCCAGTCATGTTTTATTCTGACTGTAAACGTATGATCATGCCTGGTGACATGCCATACACGAGTTGAGAATAAGCCTTATTGCTATTATTGCTAAATCACTAGTCGTCGGACTGGCATCATCATCTGAATGACGAAGAGAGCGTCCATGTTATTTGGAGGAGACTCAATAAATGCCTTTGTCATACATGGTGAGAGAGAACCGGAAGGCATCATGAGGATAGACGCCAAAAAGGATTCGGGTATCTGGCTCTTCTCAAAATTGTCCTTCTCGCTGCACCATGGGGAATCGGCCCAAAAGGCTTTCGCCGTTCTGCGGATGATTCGGAGCATCTTCTTCCGTATTGCTCGTACGGATTTCCAAACATTTAATGGGGCCTACGTCATATCGCTCCTTGAAAATGCCAACCAAGCTGTCTACTCAGGACGCACAAAAGGCGCCCCTTTCAGTGAGTGTGTCCAGCGACCCGCTACGAAAATTGTTGTTGGCCTCAAATCCGTGGACTATGAAGCGTGGCTGGCGGTGCTTAAGCACTTGCCCTTAAATTATCGTCACCTCCGAGTGAACATAATTCCTACTTATGCCCTGTTTAAAACAGGGTTTGACCAACAGATTTTTCACCATTGACCCAGCAAACACGGCGGGGACATGGTAAAATTTGCGATCTCAGAGGGCACACATTCATTGGGCAAAATCTTTTCTCATTTCGGATGGTAGCTGCGTGGAATAACCTTCCCCCGACGGTTATCCACGCTTCTTCTAGAACCCAGTTCAGAGCACTTTTGGACAATTATTTATGCGAGTCTTTGCACTGCCAGGCATACTGCACCGTGCAGAGAACTCAGAGACCAGTGCTGTGTCCTTTTCTCACTTGTGCCTTTCAGTTGAAAACCGCTGAACAACAAGAGCAATACCGACCAGGGAAAATTGGGCAAAAGCGTTGATCCTGTGCATCAATCCGTGAATCCGTACCACCAAAAGCACGACCATCCACGCGGAAGCTTATTTTTGACGCGCTTCTCATCAACTGGCGCCTGACAAATGATAAATTAAAAGAGCGTACTGTTAGTGAAATCAGAATGGCAGTTTTAGCCACCAGTGCCTTTCCCGAACGCATCAGATCGCACTCTTTCGACGTTTTTCCGACTTAGTAAGCGTCGATGCCACACACGGGGCCAACCCTCTTGGGTAAATAACTTTAAAGCCTCTGACGCTCATTGTTAGGGTGCAAGCTACATACATTTCTTTAGACGGGTGGCATGGGCATTCGTCGACCCATATTGGACAGCGTCGTTGACAGCGAGCATTTTGCGCGTTTGCGCAAGATGACTACGCAGATGCGGGCTTTCAACGCTGTGTTTAGCTGCGATATAATGCTGTGTTATTTCCACGCACAGTATCCCATTCAAAACCACGAACGTTTCATAGTGCCGCTGTAACTTTTGCAGACGAATTCTAACCGCAGCGGGCGCATATTACACCGAGTGGCCCGCTCTGATAACGCAGCTGAGTAACAGTGCACCAAACATTAACTGCGCAGGTTTCACCACGATTTACATGTCCTTCAGAGAACCGACCCCGGGCTTGTCTCTTATTTGACTGCTTAATGGCTGTACATCACTCAAAAGTGGGCCATTCGTGCGCAGTGTAGGTTAGTACATTTTGAGAATGTGACCAATAGCAACCTGAAGAACGCCAACGGGCGTTTGAAGAGACGCGTGCATCACGCTGACAGCCTGAAGCGCGCCATCCATTAGGTATCTCAGGACAGCGAATGGTTCACGCGCGAGTATGAGATGCGAACCCACAATTATCTGACCGCCGATAAATTCGCGAAGGTTACAGCTACGTTCTACGTGCGGGTTCCCGGACGACAAGAAACGCCGCCAATCAAGTTCTTGAGTACATTGAACCACGCAAAACAGATCTGATTTACCATCACACAGATCGGTTCAAGGTGAGAAATCCGTTGTTAATGACAGTCAGTTTGTGGTTCAAACCCCAAAACGTT